CTATAGTAGAACAGATATGCAAATGGTAAAGAGAAAGAAACTATCTTTTCACTACAAAAAACACCAAACATCAAAGAGAAATAATAAAAGGGAAATAAAAGAACAAAAGAAATATAAAATAACCATTAAAAAAAAATTTTAGGGCCGGCCCGGTGGCGCACTGCTACAGTGCGCCGCTTGGGAGCGCGGCGACGCTCCCGCCAAGGGTTCAGATCCCACATACAGACCGGTTCCCGCTCACTGGCTGAGCGAGGTGCGGGCGCAACACTGAGGGTTGCGATCCCGTAGCCGGTCCCGGTCCGGTACAGGCGCGACACTGAGGGTTGCGATCCGTTGCTGGACACGAAAAAAGACCAAAAAAAAAAATTTTTAAATGGCAAGAGCAAGGCTATATCTTTCAATAACAACCCTGAATGTAAATGGATTAAATCACCCACTTAAAAGATATAGACTGGTTGAATGGATTAAAAAACTAGACCCAACTATACATTGCCTGCAAGAAACTCACTTCACCAGTAAAGACAAACAAGACTAATAGTGAAGGGATGGAAAAATATATTCTACACAAGCAGAAACCAATAAAAGAGCAGGAATTGCTATACTTACATCAGATAAAACTGACTTTAAGACAAGAACTGTAAAAAGAGACAAAGAAGGACATTATATAATGATAAAGGGATCAATGCAGCAAGAAGATATAACAATCATATATATACATATGCACCCAACATCAGAGCACCCAGATATATAAAGCAAATGTTACTGGATCTAAAGAGAGAGAACCCAATACAATAAAAGTTGGGGGTTCAACATCCCTCTCTCAGCATTGGACAGATCATCTAGACAAAAAATTAGCAGAAAAATATTGGATTTAAACTGCACTTTAGGTCAAATGGACTTGGCAGACATTTATAGAACATTTCATCCAACAACTGCAGAATGTACATTCTTATCATCACACAGATCATTTTCCAGGTAGACTATGTGTTAGGCTGCAAATCAAGCCTCAAACTTAAAAAGATAGAAATCATATTATGTATTTTTTCAGACCACAATGAAATAAAACTTGAAATCAATAACAAGCAAAACTTGAAAACTATACAAATACATGGAAATTAATCAACATGCTACTGAATTACCAATTGGTCAAAGAAGAAATAAAGCAGGAAATCAAAGAATTTCTCAGAACAAATGAAAATACAAGTACAACATACCAAACTTATGGGATAATACTGCAAAAGCAGCACTAACAGGGAAGAGTATTGCAATAAATGCTTACATCAAAAAAGTTGAAAGATCACAAATAAAGAACCTAATGTTATATATCACAAGGAATTAGAAAAGCAAGAACAATCCAACCCCAAAACTAATAGATGGAAAGATATAATCAAGATCAGAGTAGAATTAAAGAAAATAGAGACCTAGAGATGAAAAAAAAATGATACAAAAGATTTATGAAACTAAAAGTTGGTTTCTTAAGAAGATAAACAAAATTGACAAACCATTAGCTAGACTAAGCAAGAAAATAAACCACCCAAACGTCAAAAATCAGAAATGAAAAAGGAGACATTACAACTGATTCCACAGAAATACAAAGAATCATGAGAGACTATTATAAACAGGTATACACCAACAAACTTGAAAATCTGGAGGAAATGGATAAATTTCTGGACAGATACAACCTACCATGACTGAACCAGTAAGAAACTGAAAACCTGAACAGATGAATAACAAGCAATGAGATTGAAGCTGTAATCAGCAGTCTCCCAACAACAAAAAACCCAGGACTGTATGGCTTCACTGCTGAAGTCTGCCAAACTTTTAAAGAAGATTTAATACCACTCTTTACAAACTATTCTAAAAAATCAAAGCAGAGGGTATTCTCCCAAACTCATTCTACAAGGCCAGCATCATCCTGATACCAAAACTGGACAAAGGCACAACAAAACAAGAAAACTATAGGCCAATATCCTTGATGAACTTATATGCCAAAATTCCCAACAAAGTACCTGCAAACAGAATCTAACAGCACATTAAAAAGATTATACACCATGATAAAGTGGGATTCATCTCAGGGACACAAGGATGATTCAAGGTACATAAATCAATAAATGTGATACACCACACCAACAAATTGAAAGAAAAAAACCATATGATCATCTCAATAGACACAGAAAAAGCATTTGATAAAATCCAACATCTCTTTATGACAAAAAGTCAATAAATTAGGTATAGAAGGAATGTATCTCAACAGAATAAAAGCCATATAGGACAAACTCACAAATAACAATATACCGAATAGAGAAAAGTTGAAAGATTTCCCTCTAACAACAGGAACAAGACAAGGATGCCCATGCTCACCACTATTTAACATAGGATTGAAAGTTCTAGCCAAAGACATTAGGCAAGAGAAAGAAATAAAGGGCATCCAAATTGGAAAAGAGGAAGTCAAATTTTCCCTGTTTGCAGATGATATAATCTTACATATAGAAAAACCTAAACTTCACCAAAAAACTCCTATATCTGATAAACAAATTTAGTATAGATTCAGGATATAAAACCAATATACAAAAGTAAGTAGTGTTTCTACACACCGAAAATGAACTAGTAGAAAAAGAAATCAAGAAAGCAATCCCATTTACAGTAGCTACCGAAAAAAAAAAAACACTTAGGAATAAATCTAACCAATAAGGTGAAAGATCTCTACAATGAAAACTATAAAACACTGATGAAAGAAATGAAAGAGAACACACAAAAAAGGAAAGACATTCCATGCTCATGGACTGGTAGAATACTACCCAAAGTGATCTACAGATTCAATGCAATCCATATAAAATACCAACGACATTCTTCACAGAATAGAAAAAAACAATCCTAACATTTATATGGAATAAAAAAAAAGACCCCAAATTGCCAAAGCAATCCTGAGCAAAATGAGTAAAGTGGGAGGCATCACACTACCTGACTTTAAATTATGCTAGAAAGCTACAGTAACCAAAACAGCATGGTACTGGGCATAAAAACAGATGCTTGTACAAATGGACCAGGACAGAAAACCCAGAAATAAACCCACATACTTCAGCCAACTAATCTTTGGTAAAAGTGCAAAAAATATACATTGGGGAAAGGACAGCCTCTTCAAGAAATGGTGCTAGGAAAACTGGATATCCATGCATGGAAGAATACAAAAATCTACTCAAAATAGATTAAAGACTTAACATAAGAACTGAACTATAAAATTTCTATAAGAAAGTACAGGGTAAATGCCTCAGGCCACAGGACTAGGCAAAAATTTTATGAATAAGACCTCTAAAGCACAGGCAGCAAAAGCAAACATAAACAAATGGGATTTTATCAAACTAAAAAGCTTCTGCACAGCAAATGAAATGATCAATACAGCAAAAAGACAACCTACAGAATGGGCAAAAATATTTGCAAACTACACATCTGACAAGGGGTTAATATCTAGAATACAGAAGGAATTCAAACAACTCAATAGTAAAAAAACAAATAACCTCATTTAAAAAAAGGGCAAATAACCCAACTAAAAAATGAGCTGAACAGACATTTCTCAAAAGAAGACATACGGATGGCCAACAAGTATATGAAAAAATGTTCAACATCACTAAGCATCAGGGAAATGCAAATAAAAAACATACTGAACTATCATCTCACCCCAGTTAGAATTGCTGTTATCAAAAAGAAAATAACAAATGCTGACGAGGATGCAGGGAAAGGGGAACCCTCCTACATTGTTGGTGGGACTGTAAATTAGTGCAGCCATTATGGAAAACAGTGTGGAGGTTTCTCAAACAACTACAGATAGAACTACCATATGACCCAGCAATCCAGCATTTACCCAAAGGAATAGAAAGCATCATGTCAAAGGGATACCTGAACTCCCATGTTTATCACAGCTCTGTTCATAACAACCAAGATATGGAACCAACCTAAACATCCACTGACAGACGACTGGATAAATAAAATACGGTACATACGCAAAACGGAATACTATTCAGCCATAAAAATGAATGATAGCGTATGAAATAAAAAGAAGTTATATCAAAGAACAAAACAACAGAGAAAATTGGATCTATATGTCTAAAAAATGATTTTCATATTTAGTTTAAAAAATATAATACTGAAATGTATAACCAACAGAATATATTACTTACATATACATAAATGTATTAATACTATATTAATGGTAGGCATAATACCATTTATAGAACTCAGTTTTTCAGGTGTTGTACAACATGCATTACATATGTTATCTCTTTATTTATTTTTTTACCTAATTTAATTTTACTTCCCTAAACACATGATTATCAACAGAACCTATGCTGGTTTGTACTTACCATCATGTTAACCATTCCAACCATTAGCTTCCAAAAATGAATGAGACTTTTACCAAATTAAGCATGGTTAAAAAAAAACAAAATAAATATTCCAACATTTTTCTTATACATATATGAACAGAAACAGAAAAAAATAACTTCCCATAAATATTACAAAGTTCTAAATGACCATCCATTAAATATTATGTATTCATATCAAATATCAAATACTACATCCTGTATGAACCTTTTTTCCACATTTATTTGTGTTGGCTTCCCCTGACCCATGCCAGTTTCTCCAACCTCTACTGCACAAAACAAGTTACCTCTTCCTCTGTATGAGTATTTCCAATGAACATCTACATAATTCTTAGTAGCATTTCTCCATGTTTTTATAATTCATTTTTAAACATACATACAAACAACAAAGAAAGAAGAAAACGATTGTAATGAGTACTGTGAAGGCAAAGACACTATCTTAGTCATCTTCCTACCTTTGGGACTTTTCAACCAGCAATTCAAACAATTATTCAGTAAGTTTTACTGAACAAATGTACAGTATATCAAATTCAGAACAGGTATCTATTTATTCCCATCAAATAGGGTATCATAAACTCAATGCCTTTTAAAAATTTCTGATGCCTTATCTTCCTTCTTGCATACCTGGTTATCCCAACATATGAAACTTCCTGCTTGTTTTCATTGTTGACCAGTGAAAGCCCAAGACTGTGCAGAGACAAGGTTATCTCCTGATCGGCCTGTTCCATTTCTTCTGCCTGCAGTGCTTTGGAAACCAAGGCAACATCATCTGTGAAAAGCAAAACTCTCTGGCGCCCATCTAGGAATGATACCCAGTGTATCTGGATGTTTGCATCATATGGAAATTGTCCACATTCATCCTGGGGAAAAGAAGTTTTCATTAAATCTACATGTAATTAGTTTTTATGACATAATGTTGAACTATAGAAACAGAAAGATTAGAAAAGTTTAGAAGATGACATTTTTTTTTTTTGTCTTTTTCGTGACTGGTAAGGGGATCACAACCCTTGGTGTGGTGTCACCCGCACCACGCTCAGCCAGTGAGCGCACCGGTCATTCCTATGTAGGATCTGAACCCGCGGCGGTAGCGTCGCTGCGCTCCCAGCGCCGCACTCTCCTGAGTGTGCCACGGGGCCGACCCAAGATTAGAAAAGTTTAAAATGTGACTATAAATTGGAAAATTCTATCAAAATGACAAAGTTATAATCTATTTTAAAACACAGTCACCAATTTTTTTCAAATAATGACAAAGATTAATAAGGCTTAGTTTTCTTATACTTTAGTTTGAGTGCTCAAAAGACACTGAGCAGAAACAAGAGTATCCTTTGGTGGCACCAATGCCAAGAGATGATTACTTGTCTCCAAGCTGGAGAACAGAATGGTTCAGAAGTTTATTAGAGAAGTAAATTTAAAAAAAAAGAAAGAAAAGAAAAGTAACCTCAGGAAAAACTAACCTACTTTATTTTTATGTTTTAATAATTTATAACAGAACAAATATTTATGTAAATCACATTGCCAAATAGTCAAACTATGGCAATCAATTTGTACTAAGTTTTACTGAAAATAGCCTTCCTGGCTAAAGGTTTCATGTAACACTTGAAAATATGAAGCTTGATTTGGTCAGTGTTTTCAGAAATTAAAATCATAAATTAATAATAAATTCCTCCTCATTCTGGGCTTAACAAAAATGTAACAGTTCGTTTCAATAGGTAGTACAAGTATCTCTGTGCATTTTTCATGCTATCCTTTCTTGGAAGGAAAAAAAAACAAATGAAGGATGTCACCAAGAGAATAGAAATAGTTGAGTTTTGCTGCTGTTCTTTAAAACTTATTATTGCTGTTAAGGTATGTTATAATATTTGGTCAAAGCAGCCTGTCCAGTTTTTTCTTTTACTCTAATGTGAGATTATGAGGTGACTTCAAAAAGTTCATGGAAAGATTTGCATTATCTTTTAATTCTATTTTTTCGTGAACTTTTTGAAGTACCCCTGTACGTTTTCAGACACATATGAAAAAGGTAAAAATCTCTCTTTGTAAACTACAAAATGTGATATGTATCTTAGTTCAATCTCGGTTCTTATTTCAATACTGTACTCTCTGGCTCTATTTGTTTTTCATCTATTTGATCTGCTAAAAATTAAACTAGGTATGTTAAAACAACCCTAGGCAATTGTGTTTCAGTTAACCTCCAGCATTTTAAGTTTTATCTTTTGATGCAATGCTATTCACTGTGTGAAGGTTCATAGTTATTACTACTACTTTGTCATTTTATCATAATCTATTTAATAATTTTGCTATGAATTACAGTTGGTCAGAAATTAAAATCAACAACTTTGCTTTCTTTTTTCTTTTGTATGCCTGTTAAATCTTTATCATCTCTTCGTGCTTATAATTATCTGTGTTAGTTTGGGTAAGACAGTTCTCTTATAAGTAGCACATATAGATTAAATTAACTAAGTGTTTTTTTAATAGGAGAATTTAAACCACTTTCATTTAGTGACATAATTGATGGGAAGCACGGTCTAGTAGAAAAAAAATCATGAACTCTGAAGTCAGACACACCTGCTTTTGAGTCCCAACAAGCAGTCCTAAATTCCAATCAAAACAATCAGTGATAATATATGAAAAGTACTTTTTCATACTTTCTTATGTTTCCTTCTTTTATTATAAAGGCAAAGTTTTCTTTACTTTCACTTTCTCAATTGTTTTGAAATTCCTTTTCACTGATTTTAGTTCTACCAATTGGTAGCTTTTTTAAAAAGGCATAATTTTTAATCTGTAATTTCTCTAATTAAAATTTAGAATTAAGTGGTACATATATATAGTATGCACAGAAAACATCATTTTCCCTCCCCCCCCCGCTTATTTTGTTGCCTTTGTCTTTTATTCACCTTGCTTTCTCCTACTGCATAGCTGTCATATCTTTATAACTTGGTTGAGAATGCCAGGCATGCATTTTGAAATTTTTCTTCTGCCTATAGTAGAAAATTTTTCAAAGGTATAATCGCCCTCTGAATCTACAGGATAATGCTACATTTTTCTTGTGAAGTATTTTTTCATAAACCTCATGTTGATTTCTTTCTATTTATGTACACTTAAATAAGGAAAGATCTGTTCAGACCTAGTGCTTACCAACAATGTACAGATTTTTTTGGAACTCCTTTGTCATGTCCACTTGGGCCTGAGAACTTCCTTCTCAGATCAACTTAGTGGACAAGAAAATGGGCAATTTCCTTGCTTCTAGCTCAGTTTTCAATACCTGGCAGACTATCTGCTGACTGAGGTAATATTATCTGCTTTCCAATCACCTGGCTTTCTAATACCAATTAGAGGAGAAACATTAAAAACTGAAATTGCTGCACATACTGTTAGCAAGATTCTTTCTGGATCTGCCTCTATAAACAAGACCTCCACACCCACCTCCAGAATGTCACTGTACTTCCTCTCCAGTGTCTGTATGCTGCTTACTGGGAGTTGAGATTGGCAAGTAGTATTAACATGTGAGGAGAGAAGAAATAGTACCAGATTGTACAGACTGACTCCTGGTAGAGCTCCCATGTCTCTAAGTATCAGAATATCACAGAATTTAAGTCTCTTTCTTCCACTTATAAACCCTTAGAGTTTCTCTGTTGTAAAAGTAAAGCACAAGCAAGCCAACAGAGTTCCATCAAATTGTCATCATAAAAATCACTCCAAGAATCTTGCAACAGAGGAACTATCGGTCTCATTTTTCAAAGATCGAATGAGTCTTTATTTCTTTTAACAGGTATCTTGGGGGAATACAGGACGGGATAATTCAGTCACTGTTGGCCAATTACCATTTTAAAGCAAAAGTCAAGAAAGCCCTTCTAAGAACTGGCATTATCAGAGAATGGAATATGACACTATATGAAGACTTTCATCATAAAACACTGTATATTCATAAAGAAACTGGATAATCTACCACTAATGCAGGAGCAATTCCTGTATCTGGTGGGAGGCTGGTAGATGAATTTTTAGTCCCCTTCCAGAGTCTAAGAAATAACATATATGACTAATTTTGCTACTTAAATATTGTTAAAATAAATATTTCACCAAATTTCTTATATGAGATTATTTGTATATTATCAGACTCCACTAATTAATAAAACATATGGCCTTACTTAGAAATACAAGCCTAAAAACCTCACAGATAACAGTGGTATAGATATGTTCAAAATAAAGTTGTTTTTCATTTAGTCTTAAAATTCCATCCTTTTAAAAAAAGTAAATAAAAAGATGGGTTTTTTTATCTTTACCAGGCCGGAGCAGGATGGAGGTCTATTTTTTAAACTGTAAATAAGTCATTTTGATCGATCTAAAATAAAATACTGCAATCTAAACTCCAAAAGTAACTTTTTCTGAAAATACTTCTAATTCGTTTTTAGTTCAGTAAGGACAAGGATGATTTGGTGAAGCTAACTTGTCTAGTTTCCTCACCATCGAGCAACTCATATAACACTCATTCACATCAAATGATACCTTTAACAGACCATGCTCCCCAACATTTGCTGCATATCTCCATGTAAGTTTTCTGGTACCAGTAGGATCGGCCCAGGCAAAAAGTCGAGCTTGTCTTGGCAGCAAGTCTACTTCTTCCTGTGACCCACTAAAACACAATCAACACGGGGAAGATTAGAATATCCTGACCTTGAGAAAAACAGACCTGTAGTTTATTGAGAAGATTGGCATAAAAGTTCTATGAAATTGTCTTAGTTAATAAAACACAAATCTGCCTAAAAATAAGTACCCTATATTGTCCAGAAACCTAATGGTTTTGAAGCTTGGAGAAGCTTCCTTTCTGAAGCTGCCATATACTCTGAATTGATTCAGGCAGAATCATACCAATAGAATTCACTAAAGTAAACAGATGGGTACAACAGAGTCAATTTGTAGAAACGGCTGTGAATAGTAAACAGCTTTAGTAGAAGAACATCACTCAGTGCTTAAATTTAAACTTTATCAAATACAACATTTACGATACATGATAGGTCTCACACAAAAAAGGAGAGTCCACTCAATTACTACTCAAATTGTGGTCTGTGGACAAGCAGCATCAGCATTACCTAGGGGCTTACTGGAAATGCAAAGTCCTGAACCCCACCCTAAACCTACTGAATCAGAATCTGCATCTTCACAAGATTCCTAGGAGATTTTAAAAATGATCATTAAAGTTTAGGAAGTATGGGTCCGTATAATATAAAAAACATTCCAGAACACTGAAAAAAAAAGGTAATACAACTAGTTTTCAATCCTAATCTGTGCTTTTTTTTTTTTTTTTTGTCTTTTTGTCTCTTTTTTCGTGTCCGGCAACGGATCGCAACCCTCAGTGTCGTGCCCGTACCGGAAACGGGATCACAACCCTCGGCGCTGCACCCGCACCTCGCCCAGCCAGTGAGCGGGAACCGGTCTGCATGTGGGATCCGAACCCTTGGCGGGAGCGCCACGGCACTCCCAAGCGGCGCACTGTAGCAGTGCACCACCGGGCCGGCCCCTAATCTGTGCTTTTAAATCTTTCACTGGATTCATGCCAGGAGAGGTAAGAATAGGAAAATATCCAAGGAATTTATATAATACATGTGTATGTGTATACACATAAAATTATTATTATTATATATTTAAGGGCTTAAAGCTATCTTTTATACCATTAAACAATGGCATCATTCAAGCCAAATGACAGACCAGGCAAGAACCACAAAATTCCTATTCGCCTACTCCATATGTTCAACACCACTATCTATTCACTGTCCTCTCATTTAACCTTCTACCACCCTAACCCAAAAAACTAGATACAGATTTATAGCATGAGATTCACTGAGTATTACCAGATTACAAAGGAAAGATAATACTTAAACAGGTTAACAGTCCCTTATCTGCAATCCTGAAATTTAAAAAGCTCCAAAAGTCCAAAGAGTTTTCTGTAAGTTTGGTGTTAAAAGTCATTCAGCAGCAAAACCTGATCTGAACTGATGTGAGACTATTAATAGTTTCCATTTATCCCACATGGTGTGAATATTCATAAATTCCTGCAGAAATATTAGTATGTTTGATTACAGTACAGTCTCAAAACATGCCAAAGATATTAGTAATAAACAGCATGAGCTTTATATTAACCTTCTAAAATCTGAAAACATTTGAAATGTGAAACCCGGGTGTTTCCCGGAAGGGACTGTGGACCAATAAAAGCAAATCAGATTTTCCATTAACACTTTTTTCATACCTCTGTTTATATGTGAGGACGTCCCATGGTGTATGGTTTATTATCAGGGCAGGTGCAGATCCCTCATGGTAATCAGAAAAGGTTATGACAGTTGAATGCTCAGCAGTGTTTACATCCACCAAGATACCCCCATTCTATTATAGAAAAAAAAGTATGTTTAACATATTGTTTTAACCTGTACTTAGATATTGAATTTCAATCAGCTAAGAAAACAAAGCTTTTGTGTTTACATAAGCTCTTACTGAAAAGCAAACTGGCTCTGATCTCTTACAAATACATGCATGGCATTACATGTTAATACAGTAGCACCTTCAAATTATTACCATTATATTTTTACAGCATGGTTTAATGAAATAATCAAAGACATTTTCTTTTAAAACATGAAAACTTACCAGATCTTCTAAGCTCAATAAAGTGCCATTATCCTGTCGGTTATAAAAAAATGGTTTGGAAGATCCTTCACAGCCCACCACTCTCACACACAGTTTGCCTGACAAATTTTCAGGCCAAAATGGAAGGCACTGAAAATATAAAAGTTAATATCAATCTTAAGACAATACTGTGGTATAAATAAGACATTGACTAGTTTTCAATTCTAAATCTGATCTTCATTAATTTATTACTGTTTCTTAAAATATTCTCTTCACATCTAAGATTATTGACAATATAATGATTATGAAATCTAAGAAACTTCATCAGAAGAATACAGATAGATTAGTTTATATGTACTTATAGTATAATTACAATATGAGAAACTGAAGAGCCTGCTGATTAAGAATGTCTCAAATATCTTGAATTTTTAAAAACTACAATCTTAATAACATTTGCTTCTGTGCATATCCCCTTTTAATTAATTAATGCACAATGAATTCCTTCAAAGAGTATCTTATCCTAGATAAACCAGAAAGACAAGTGAAGGTAGAGGAGAGAACATCAAAGACCATTCTGGAAGTCCTGACACTATCTTCCTAGCTGTTTGATCTTAATCAAACCACACAGTTCTTTGAGCCTCAGTTTTCTTATCTATAAAACTAGGGTTTTAGTTCCTAATATAAGACAAAATGTCCGTCTGTTATCCAATACCAGGTAAATTCTATTTCTGAATAAAAATACTACTGTTAACAAATCCACATCAAAGATAAAAACTAATAAGCATTTATTTGTTGCCAAGTCTACAGAGATCATTCTAAGTGCCTTGAAAAGACCACGTCTTTTAGAGCTCTAAATTCGTTTGTATTGTCATTGGAATCTTTCCTTTTCAGCCATTTGCTATGTTTTTTTTTTCCTTTTTGTCTTTTTTTTCGTGACCGGCAATTAAATTCGTTTGTATTGTCATTGGAATCTTTCCTTTTCAGCCATTTGCTATGTTTTTTTTTTTCCTTTTTGTCTTTTTTTTTCGTGACCGGCAATGGATCGCTACCCTCAGTGTCGCGCCCGTACCGGACCGGGACCAGCAACGGGATCGCAACCCTCGGTGTTGCTCCCGCACCTCGCTCAGCCAGTGAGCGGCCGGTCTGTATGTGGGATCCGAACCCTCGGCGGGAGCGCCGCTGCGCTTCCCAAGCAGCGCACTGTAGCAGTGCACCACCGGGCCGGCCCATTGCTATGTATTTTTAAAAGTAACTTTATAATCTTTTTTTTTTAGATATACCAAAGAATGGAGGAAGGAATGACCTTCAGCTACCCTAAAGGTCAGCTGGCTTCATTGAAAACTCAGTCATCTGTCCTCTTCCCTCTTTCCCTCATTCTCTTCACCTCCTCAAATCTTACTGAGCCTGCAAAGTTTAGTTCATATCCCACTTCTGTGAAACTTTACCTTTTGATCTAGACCACCATGATCTCAACTACCAATCACTTTACTGACCTTGGAAAAGGCTGAAACTCAGTCTCCTTTTCTGTAAAGTGAGAAGGCTGAATTTTAGTTAATTCTCAAGGAAACTTCCAGCTCACCTATTCAAAATTCTACAACCACCTATAACTTAGCATATACTATCTTTTTCTCCACATAGTAGTTTATATGACTCTCAGGCTCTTCCAACAAGATTATAGCGTCTTGAATATAGAGACATTATCTTGACTATTGAAACAATACATAGTACATTATCTCTATGTCCTTTTCACAGTACATATCCATATTCTACCCATATAAAGGCACTCCAAGAAGTTCATGGAAAGATTTGTATTATCTTTCAATTCTATTTTTCCATAAAACTTTTGAAGTACCCTTGTATAGGAAGAACTACAGAACAACTGTTAACCATCTAGACTGAGCCAGTGGTAAATATCAAAATTTTTCCTCTTTTTAACATAAACTTACAATGTAAAAGAAAAATCTTTCAAAGCTAGCTGTCATATTTCAACACATAAATATGATAGCAAAGTGAGTATGACAAAGAGGTACATACAATTCTTATTTATATGACAATATTTATTTGTATATTTTAGGAGCCAATTACATAAAAGAAAATTCTTACCTCTGAAGAACTAATATAGCTCCATTTATTAGTTGGCATTGAGCCATCAGATGCAATTTCACCAACTTCTAGTTCTAATGATGACTTGTTTGCAATGGTACAAAAGGGAGTCAGAGTGACTATTCGAGAAAGATTAAAACTGCTCATTTTAATGCTAACACCGACCTGTGGAAAGGATATAAACATGCTTATTTTCCAGTACTTCATTCAATCCCCCACAGGCTACTTAAAATATTTTAAAATAAGAATTCTTAAATTAACTACTATAAGCCATATTCCACTACTGATTACCTTCTCACTAAGAAGAAAAATTTTGGTCCCTTAGTGTGGTTCCATCAGAAACCAATTCAAGAAATATCAATCAGTAACTTAACAAATGACAACTTACAATGACAGATTTAATTTGTCAAGTATGGTTTACACTTTAATATTCCAAACATAAATTGCTTTATAAATAGCATAGAGGCTCAAGTTTTACTGCTTTATTATCTGTTCTTAATAATAAAACTTTCAAAGCAGGAATAAAACAGGTCAACTAGCATCAGATTATTCAAATTTTCACAGTAGTGAAATCTAAGATTTAAGAAATGTTTTGCAGGGGGTGGTATGGAATGCGGATTCTAGTATACTGTGAATATTTACCAAGTTGCTCACTTGGATAGATTAAACTCACTGTCTTTAGACAAATTCAGGTTTTGCTTTGATACCAGTGGCCACAGAAATTTATAGAGACAACAGCCCTCCATGTAATGCTTTGAATTTACATTTCTGTACCCCTTAGGAGCCAGCTTGTTTACTGAACAGTAGGAAAGGTGGATGGAGTCAATGGTAAATAAACAAGTAGAATCTTACCAGATATTCCATATTGTTGGCAGGACACTTCACACAGCCATAACTTCCCACTGTATCCAATGAGAAACTGCTGGACCAGGCACTAGTTGAAATTTTTAATTGTACCTATACCAGAGAACACATACCATCATATAAGAAACCTAAAAGACATTATAGTACTCACTTTACTTGATGAAAAGTTGCTAGACCACTAAAAATTTCTTTAGTGTCACGGCACACAGAAAAATATAATCAAAGTCATATTTCAAATGATTAACAGAACCACCAAAAACTCTAGGAGACAATACAACAAAATCATAGGTCTGACCTTCCCATTCACCTGTGCAATGAGTATAGTGAATTTAAAGATGTACACTAATGAAACCCTGTGTTGTTTTTAAAAAGAATTATAATGCATGATAATATTTTCTAGTGTTAGACTTGTGGTATAGAGCTAACGAATTCTTAAAGTTTTAGCATGTAGAGAATTTATGTCTTTAACATTATTCAGCAAGAGTATGTGAAAGGCATTGTGAGAGGCAGAATGGAAGACAATAGGACACAGTTTCTGTCTTCAATGAGCTTCCATCTAAATAGAGGGAACAGGAAATACATACCAACAATTATGACACAAGGCTCAATGTGGTAAGAGCCATACAAGAGTTGTAAAATGCTATCAAGGTGAGGGGATAAAGAGTTTACTTCTGGTCCTGGGATTTCGATAAAAATCTTTTAGAAGAGACCCAACTGTGCCCCTGTATTAATCTCATCCCTGTTCATCCAATTAAATTATAAAAAACTTGAGGACAACCAGGGTCAGACATATAAACAGGAAATTACAATGCCATGTGTTAATCAATACTCTAAGACAGTGGTTCTCACAGTGGTCCATGGATTAGCAGCACTAGCAGCATCTGGAAATCTGTTAAAAATGCAAATTCCCAGACCCACTGAATCAAATTCTGGGGGCAGGATCCAAGAATCAGTTTTAAAAGTCCTTTAGGTGATTGTAACGTACGCTGAAATTTGAGGACCACTACTCTAAGAAAACATGAATGGGATATCTAGACACATTTTAAATGATTAGAAAATATTCACACCTATCATGCTGGAGCAGAATGCCCAAGGATGAACAGCAATAGCCAGGAAACATGAGGGAGACAAGGAAAGAGGAGGGGAAGAGGCATTCTAGGCACAGGGCACAGAAAGTGTGAGGTGAGGAATACCAAAATATGACTCTGAAGAGAAAAGAAGGGACCAGAGCATAAAGGTCCAGGCTCAGGCATTAGGGTTCTCTCCCAAAGGCCTGGCTTAGTGCTTCATACATAGATGGGAAAGCTCCACTAATATAAGCCAAATTCCACTACTGCATCTTTAGAAATGCCATTTCATCACTGGTAAAGTACATGAAAGCACGCTATTCTACCTGACACTACTTCAAGAACAGAAGTAATTCTATGAGCACTGGAGAAAAGGGTAATTCAGCCTCAGGAAACTGTTGTCATTAGTTTCTAACATTCTATTTGATTATGTGTTCCTTAAATGTCTCCTTGAACCTAATTCATACCAATAGCACTTGGTAAATAGGTAAGCATGGTTTTAGGGAAGACAAATGATTCCCAAGATTTTAGATTAGAAATTTATCTATTTTAACAACTCTACACAAAAACACACCTTATTTTTACTAAAAATGTTCTTCTTCTTGAAAGAGAATAAAATAATATCCCTGAAATCAGCTGGATGTTTCACATGAATATCTTCTGAACGATACTGGAGAACCCGAGAAGTCTTGTTGATTAGCCAATAGGGACTGAAGACAGACAGCACCATCCGGCTGCCAATACGCCTGACGTGTACTGACAGGTCAACTGTCATCACTTCTGTGGAGTCAGAAGAAAAACACACAAGAAAGAATTCGGGAAGTGTATCACATATGCGAAAATGTCCGTTCCAGTTTTTGCCCTGGTATTTCACCAAGACTAACTCCATTATTTCTCCACTGATTCTTGAATGTAGAACATCAGCAGCACTGCCTTCTGCTAGCTCATGAGTTTCTGCTGTTCCCTAAAAACAAACAAAAACTAAGTTTGCTTAGTGATTTTTAAAAACCTCTGAAACAGCAAAATTCTTTTACACAAATGCTAAATAATCTGCCAGACGCAAGTTGACTGCCAAGTCTCCAATGAAGTAGCATGTTTACATATTATGAATGTCCAGTAACCATGAAGGACGAAAAAGGAAACACTATATCATAGCCACAGGCAGAAATGGCCTTAGTAGGCCATTAGTAGGCCAACAGCCCTAAGTTTTGAGAAAAAAATCAGATCTATACCAAGAATCAAAGGCTGGATTCAGGAACCCTGGCTCTTGTCCATGAGAGCTATGTCATTAAGTGAGCCACTTAGCCGCCTGGACTTCAGTTTCATCCTCTATTCACATATCACGCATGATGGTTCTCACACGAATGGAATAAGGAAAGTGAACTCAAACTATTCTGACAAGCTATCTAAGTTAGGTGGAAGTATTCTTAAAATGAGTAATAGCAACAAATAAATCAGGCTTCCTTACTGAAAGCTTCTATTGTATAAACACTATTTAGTTCATTTAATTAATTTTTGACTTCACAACTCAGGAATGGTTCATTGTCAGATAAAGAAAAGAAATAATTTAGGTTACAAATACTTTCCAGGCTTTTATATTTTAAAATATTATAACCTGTAGAAATTTAAAAATATTTATCATACCCCATTACTAGAAAATGTTCCTTATTATTCCTTAAGACAGTAATTATTTTTTATTTTCAACAAAACCTTGGACCAAATAATCATAATATTAACTTTAAAATAAAAACTTTAAATTAGGATGAAATATTTTATATTCTCATTGGCTTTTTTCTATCCTTTAGTTAATAACATTTTACTTAATTAATAAAGAGATGATTATGGTTCGTAATTTACGGCTAAGACAGCAGAAAAAAGTAGTAGTGATCAAGGAGCCGAACTGTCTAGGTTCAAATCCCAGCTCCACCACTTACTAGCTGTGGAACCTTGAGACACTTACCTAACCTCTCTGTGACTCAGTTTCCTCTTCTATAAAATGGACCTAAAATAGTACCTACCTGAGGAGGTTACTATAAAGATTAACTGTGTTAATACATGCAAAGCATACAATACAGTGCCTGGCACACAGATGCTATGCTGGTTTTTACTATCATTAATACGGTTAAAGTATTACAAGTATGCTATAAAAATATGACTTTGACTAAAAGCACCATAAAACAAAACTAGAATATACTCTGTTCAACAATAAAAACAAAACAAAATGCAAGAGACAAACCTCAAGTAAATATCTTAGAGAATATGGGAGAAGATTCCGCAAAATGAGAGAAGGATAAAGATGAATAATGTAAGCTGGATCCCAGTCTTCCCCACGTGTACATATATAGCTTAATTCATCAGGCAGAGCAACTGTATTCACTATGAGAGGTAAGAAGCTGACTTCTTTTGATGGACACTGCAACATGCATCTGACTTCCCTGCTCCTGTGAAGTTCTTCCTTCCAGGAAATGTAAGTGGTGGATTCTTTGTATTGATGCTCTAAGATTCCAGCTGGCTGAATAAACAATTGACACCTGCAGAGAAAGAACACAAGTGGGAAAAAAGTTTTCATCAAGAACTTAAGAAAAAGAACCTCATTACATCTTGATAACTCTACCGGGCAGGTACTATTATTCTTATTTTTGCAGACAAGGAAACCATCACTAAGAAAGGTTAAGAAATTTGCCCAAATTCTAACTCATAGCTAACTCAGAAAGAAACTTCCTGGGGGAAAAATAAACAACAACAAAAAAATGACACTTTGTAAACAAGGACAACTTTAAAAAAAAGTATTTCACACACAAAGGCAACCTAATAAAAATAAATCTCAGAAAATTCTAAAACATCAAATATACAATAAGGAATTTTCACCTGATAAATTCAATATAAATGTATTTCTCTACAGAAGAATAAACTACATATGTCTTAATACTGGCTTTTACAGGTCTTTAGACAATAAAAATATGAGATTATTTACCAGAATACAGATCCCAATTCATAAAATTAAAAATATATATTATGAATATCTTAAAGCTTAGTATATTCAAAGAAATATCTACCTATATGAATCTAAAGGAACATGGAACTCCTCCTCAGGTCTGGCTATTCCAATGCACTCTAATAACTTAACATTCTTGATGTATTTATAGATGATAAATGCAATAGAGAAATGGTTTTTAATCTGTTGGAAAAAAGATATGTAAGTATAAGTTCAAAAGAAAAACATGAGCAGCACACAATCACAATTACTTTTAGATCTAAAACGTTTCAAACCCAGTACTGAAAGATATTTTTATTGGCAATTCAAAATTTTTAGGATATTTAAGTGCTATATATATTAGACTTAATGTTTAAGTGGCAGTTGAAAATTATTAAGACATTCACATGCTCTTTATATCACATTAGTCTGTAACATTCTTTCAAATATACTGTATTATTCTTTGAAGTCTTCAGTCATGTTTTCTTCACTACAACCTTTTCTCAATATATCATATGTCTAAACAGAAAAAGACAGCAAAAGAAATATGAGAAAAATAGTACAACTCTCTTCTCTGACTACAGTATGATATATGCTGGAGCTAATAACAAACTAAGAGATAGCAACAGCCAAAATGTTAAGTCTTTCACTTTTATCTGATGTTACAGAAAGCAAGAAATGTTCTTTTGCTAACCATATACTGAAAACTGTAGTAATGCAGAGAAAAATAAAAATGTTTAATAAAGCCTTAAAAGTAGAGAATAAAATATTTATACAGATTAAGATGCTAAAATTTTTTAAGGAGAGTAGATCATTCCGATATTCTTTCACACATCCTTGAAAAATACAATCCCAAGTGATATACAAAGAGAATAAAATGTTATCCTATTTGACAACCAACTATAACATTCTTCAGCTCTGAATCTTTAGAATACACACCAAAACAGCTTCATTAATTATAAGCCCAGAAGATTAAAAAAAAAAAAATGAACTTTAAATGAACAAAACTGTTTTATCAGACATTTAAAATAAAGAATTTTACAAAAGCAAGTTGGATAGGGAATAGAAGCCACTTCAGTTTATTATTAATTTCTGATTAGTCAGTACTGACCTAATAAAGTTTTACTATATTCCTATATTCAGCTAAATGATTTAATATTTCTTGATATCCTGAAAAGGATACAAGTCACTTTAAAGTATTACCTGCAGAGGAGAGCGAAGGGTAATTACTTTATTCCCTTCAGTTGCATCAATCTGTACCAAGACTGAGTCAGAATGACTGACACTGGGATTCCGTACATTATACAATTGCCGTCCAGGTCTGGCAACAGGGATATTTGCGACTTCTGTATATCCACGAGGTACTAAGGCAGAGCACAAGTGAAAAATATCCCAAATATTAATTTACCAATATTTCTCTGTGACAATAATCATCAGCACCTCCAAATAATGACAAGAGTATTTTTCCTCCTGACTAGAAATGACCACTATGAAATGCTTTTTTAAGATGCAAGAACTAAAAAAGAAAGAAAACCAGTTACTGACATCAAACTTATAACCCAAAACAATTTTTCCTGGGGTTTTGTATTATTAAAACAAACAAAATCCAATTTATTTCTCATTCTCTCAACTATATGGCAACAATGTCCTTTTCTTTGTAATGGTAATAATTTCTGTCAATATTTTAGGACTTCCAAATATAGTTATTTTCTCTCCTCTTTGAATTTCCATCATTTTTGAAATATCCTATATATTGTATTATTTAAGGGCAAAGAAATAATTTAGTTTTTTAAGGTGCTTCTTAAATTAATCAAGTTTAATTTTTAGAAGAGATGAGTTTGTTTCAAGCATTTAGAAATGTTGTTCCCCAAAATATTTGCAACAAAATACCTTTTTCATATGTTATCAAAAATGAGCACACACCAACATGTCCTAAAATGTCCTTAAAATAAAGTAAATATAGCATACCAAAGGTCAGAGTGAAGAAGGAGCTTTCCTGACGGCTCAATATAGACAGTTTCCCTCGACTTGAAGGTTCCATGCAGGCATATTCCAATTCCAAACTCTGACCAGCATCAACATCAAAAACATCACTTTTCTCAGGGGAGCCCATTACTCTGAGATTACGATTGGGCCGTACCTTCATGGGCACACCTACAGCATTTTTCACAGTAACAGGAGCCCTGTCTTTTAAAGAGTAGTCAAAAGAAGCAGCAGCGCCCTCTGAAAAACCCTGAAAAGAACATATCACCACAATAAAATTTTGCAAAATGTACATTTTTTTCAAAAACTACACCATAACTACACATTTTTTAGGAACTAATTTTGATGACCAAAAAATAATAATAATGATAATAATCCATACATGTTTCATTTTACATTCCACTTGAAAAACTCCAAGCAAAAATCAAACATACTTTTGCTAAATTGTTGAAAACATTAAGACAACTTTTGGATATTGTTATATTCATTGTATCTCCTGAATAAATACAAATTGCCATTTGTGGCTCAGGAATAAAATCATCTCCTGGCATCAAACTTTTATCCTGGACTGGGTTCTTCTTTACCTAGAAAGATAAATAACATAACAAATTTAAGTTATTAGCCAATTAGTAATAAAATTAAAATACTCAATAGAGTTAAGTTCTCCTGTCTGGTCACTTTATATTAAGGCTCCTCAATAATAAACGTTTTATGATTTTTAAAATAAATTTAGTGAACCTAAAAAAAAAGTCTCATTTTCAAAAATATTCTGTGCTTCACTATGATCTAGTGCAGATCAGCACTCTTTCTTTCAGGACATAGTACACGCCATGGGGAAATGTTTAGAATTGTCCTATGAAAGCACTCAAAGTCAACTACAATATTTGTCTCTTGTGGATTTCCCAGAGCATAGCTATCTACTAAGTGTTGCCTAACTGGTGATTATGTATTAATGAGCAATCTAAGTTGACCCTGAAGTCTAAACTGATTCTCATTGAAGGCATCATCTGGAAATAAGTTTCTTTCCTTCCACTTTTTAACCAGTAACACCTACAAATAAGTACCATGATAAGCTTTCATCTAGCCATAAGAGTCGTCTAAACTGATTCTCATTGAAGGCATCATCTGGAAATAAGTTTCTTTCCTTCCACTTTTTACCAGTAACACCTACAAATAAGTACCATGATAAGCTTTCATCTAGCCATAAGAGTTCATCAGAGTTTTTATTTTAACAGCATTTCAAAAGCCTTGTAAAAATTCTTTGTTGGCCTCCCTTCACCAGAGAAAGATAGGTCAAAAATATTACTTCTACTTTATTGACAGGAAATTAAAACAGTTTAAGTGACCTCTCATCTTTAACAAAAGCTTCTGCTGAGTCAATTTCAGTGCCTGATTCCTAAGTCAGGCTGCCCCAGAGAGGTGTGCTGTGACAATGTGTCAGCAGTATATACACTCACGTTCCTGTTAATCGAGAAAAATGTGCTTCAGCATCTAGGATCCTGAAGTGCTCTAAAAAAAAATACCATAAAGAGATAACACAAAAAACTTCATAAACTAGAACAGTAGTTCTTAAATTTTTTGGTCTCACCCTTAAAAATCACTGAATACCCCAAAGAGCTTCATTTATGTGGGCTATATCTACCAATATGTATTCTATTAGAGATTAAAACTGAGAAAAATTTTAATATTCATATAAATAACATTTTTGATTAAAAAAAAAAAACTATTTAAAAAATACAAATAGTGAGAAGGGGGGCATTTATAAATCTCTTGGTGTCTGCCTTAAGAGAAGACAAATGAATTCTCATTTCTGCTCTGCATTCAATCTGCAGCAATATCACATTCACATAGTCCCTGGAAAACACCATTGTACATTAACAAGAAAATGATATATAATGCCTGAGTATGACTATGAAAAAGAGTTTTGACCTCATGGAGCCCTGAAAGGGCTTCAAGGATCCTGGACCAGATCTTAAGAATCACTGTACTAAAAATATTAATGAATATGCATAGTGTCACTTCATACAAAGATATTTTATGGTTTTCTTACATGAATCCTTAAATTCCACTGCTTCTTCCCCTCCACTCTCTCAATCAGTGGCTCCCAGACAGCGTGGATCTCATTGTAATAGTGAACCTGGAAAGTCACAGAATTTATAATAAGCAATCTCTCAACTTTAATTATATATTTCTGCAATTAGTAGCAAAAAATATTAAGTAACTAATGTTGTATGTCAACAGCCATTTTAAAAACCCACCTACAGGCACAAACAATACATATTGGCTTTGGAAATACTAAATGATGGTGCCATACCTCTAGTGTCATGTTGGCAGTAGCAGCCATTAGAGAAGACCAATTTTTAATATTCCCTGAAAATTTAGACTCCGCCAATAATAAAGGAACAGTCCGATGTCCAAGGCCACATTCTAGGGTAACTTGAACTGATTCCACAGCAACAATACAATTTTCCTCTATCAATGGATGTTCAGTGTCTTTGAAATTTTCTGTTATTTCTGTTGCCGTGTCCACACCAAGAAACCAAGAGTTAAAATCATTAATAGATTTGACACCCCAAAGATTTTCTGCTTCCTTAGATGTATCTATAGATTCATCTTCTTTTGTCTTTGGAGACATAGCAGCCATGATTGTCATCACAGTATTAAGAATTATGGGTGAAATCTTTAAAAAAAAAAAAAAGCAGAAAAGTATTTAGAATAAATTCTTTCCCAGATGAAAATAACTAATGCATACATGATAAAAAAGTTAAATAGTAACTAATTAAAAATTTTAATATATTAATAACTAAAGAAAACAAGAAAGAACACACAAAATCAAGTGTCAAGTCAATTAACTGTGTAATGCTGATTTCTGCTGAGGTTACTTGGAATTAAGTAATTAATGTTATATGTTAATAGTACAAACTTAAACTGACAAATTCAGAGTGAGATAGTGTTATGTGAACAGATAAATGCAGAAGCATAACCACATTTTTCATTTTTCAATCAGGTGCATTAACTAAACCAAAGTGTGTGTTCCTCATCAAGATATACATAAATGGCCTCCATTCATCTTTTTGAAACAGGAAAGATGGAAATCATGGATCACCTTTGACTGATCCCAAGATCTGCAAATTATTATAATCTTATCATCTTTGGATACTACCTTTGCTCAGTCTCCTCGCTCCTATCCGTATGCCTTGGTCCTTCTCTATCCAGTCGGCACCACTCAGCCTACCCTCCACACTGCTACCATCAAAATTTTCTAAAACCCAAATCTGGATATGTCATTCCTATGTTTAAAATCTTCAGCAACTTCCCATACTTTCAGGGTAAAATTCAAACTTTCTTTAGCTTGATGCAGAAAGCTTTTTGTGGCCTACTGTCTAGTCAGCTAGGTAGAGTTCCCCAAAGTTTGAGAAATACTGGGTTAAGTAAGTTAAATGGATTCCTTTACTGTTCACTTCTCACAACCCTTACTTACTTATTATCCTAAAGAGATATAATTGAATCACCAAAAGGAGGATCTGGTACATAGTGCTTTCCTAACTTACCTGTCAACTGAATCCTTTTTTTCCTTGCCTTATTATTGTCACCTATGTAATTAATGCTCTGACTCCTACAACTCCACCACACCATTATCTCCAGCCACATGGCACCAACCTCAAAGTCCTTAAAGAATTTTTTCACACCTCTGTCCTTGTGCATATTATCAGATCTGTCTGGATAACCCTTCTTCTCCCTCTCCATTGGACTTCCAAAACTCAGTTTAAATAGTCCCACTTCCAGACAGCTTTTCCTAATGTCCTGGTCTGAATTAAAGACCCCTTGCCTGTACTCACAACAGCATTTTGTGCATGCTTCAAGCACTAAAACCTGCAATCACTAATTTACTTCTTTCTGACACATGCCATTAAGTTTTTTTAAAGGCAGGAATCCCCAACACCTTGTACAGGACATTTTTTATACATAGTAAGCACTTAAAAAATGTTTGTTGAATGAATAAATCAATTTATGTACAAAAAACCAGAAGGCCCCCCCAGCACCTAACCTACTGCCTTAATGAAAACACAAATTCAAAGAGTTTTCCTCTCATTTACTACTTTACTTCTTTAAAAATGTAAATCCATTAACAAAATACAATCTAAGACTATCCAGTATTTTAAAATGTTGAGAAAAAACTACATTGTTATTTACATGGTACTTCAAATGAAATTACTCTGAGCCTTAGGTCGATCACTATTGGCCACAGACCTATGTAAAGCTACTATCATTATTGGCATTAACCACCTCATTTTTACATTCGTTGGACAGAGAGAAATAGATTTCAGAAAGTATTCTACATCTTCCATTTGTAACTGGGCACAAGGTCATACTTAAAGAATCAGTGTCATTGGAGAACAGAAATTGTTTTTTCAATACTTTAAATGTAAGAGATTAAAAAAAAACAAAAGCAAATCCTAATAATGTATTTCTAGCAAATGTTATTGCAAATTTTTCATAAGCCAAATAAAACATTTAATTACAGTTATTAAATTCAAATTTCTAGCAAATGTTATTGCAAATTTTTCATAAGCCAAATAAAACATTTAATTACAGTTATTAAATTCAATCAAATTATGCATCAAATAAAAGCCTAAAAATAATTTATTACAAATAAAGTAATAGCAACCTTACCTTTCCATCGTTCCTTCCCTTCTCCTCCTATCCTATCCTGCTCTCCCTTCCAACTCAACCTATCTCCCACACATGTGCAAATAACAATAGAGGAAAAACTACCCTGGTCATTTGTAGATATTAGAAAATACTCTTTTAAAGAAAAAAGAAACAGACATTTGCATTAAAGAAAAATTTTAATATTAGAGGTACTGACTACTGAATATGTGACTAGCATAATGCTTAAGTTATGAGAAACAGCAAAAGACACTGCCTCAAGTAACTGAAAATATACAATCCTGTTTGAAAAATAAGAATTTTCACCCCAAAAATATAATAGGCACTAACCTTAATTATGAATTCTTTAACCATAATATTTATATTTTGTTTTCCTGAAGCCCACGTACATTTTTCCATAAATAAAGAGCAGGGCTGCAAGACCTAGAAACAAATAAATGAAATTCACATTTCCTTGGTAATAGATCCATTATATACATAATATACACTTATAAGAACCATGTCTTACTTAACTTAGGATCTTTAACTATAACCTACTACTAAAAGCAAAAAGGCAAATTAAATTAGCTGAGAATCTGTCCTGAGGGTTCTTCTAACTATGACAAATCTGTGAACATTGTTAATGGACCTTAAGTAGTTCTAAAAAATTTCTTCATGCTAAATCACATTTACTATATAAAGTTTAAAATGTTTCCTTTTGCTAAAATATTTTTTAAATGATGTCCTCTAAAAATATACTTTTGAGATATCTATAAAAATGAGCTGAAAACTATGGTAAAGTAGATAAATAAAAGTTTACAGATGACTAATAGGTCAGTCTTGAATATTAAGTAAAGTCCTCATTAGAATAAATTTTAAATCTTCAGACTTGATGATTTATTAAAACTATGAAGCCTATATTCTTACATATAATTAAAGAAATAAATAAAATAATCTTACACCTGTACTGGGGTAATTAGTATTACACAATTATCATTTAAAAATTAGACTGAGCTTTTAATGAAGTGATTAATTATAAGCTTTCTGGGACATGTCAAAAGATAAATTCTGTCAAAACATATTTCATGATAAAGTACAGATGAACCCTAGCACTGTATTTCTTTATGCAGGTCACTTTGCCCACAAATTTTTTTAATTTAAAGTAACACTACAAGTGAGTCATATAATATAATAATCCTGTTACCACAAATTTATCAATTTAACATTAAAAAATAAATGGTATGGTAATTAACTAAAATCATATTTTTCAATAATGTAAAAACCTAATTGAAATTAACTTTTAATAACAGCAGAACACCATCTCTTTTAATCACATGACAGCAGTTGAATTTGTTCATTCTAAGCTTAAATATCATTCATTCATTCACTGGGTATATTATGTTGAACAAAAGAAACAGCTGAAAAAAATATTTGTACTAAACTCAAATACTCTTCAACAGAAGATGGCATAGTGAAAAGAAAACCAGTCTGAAGTTCATCCCCAGTTCTGTCACTAGCAGCCATGGCTAAATCATTTAACATCTCTGGAACTCAACAGCCTTGAGTTGGTAGCAAATAATCTCCAAAGTCCTGCAGAGCTCTCATAGTCTAGGATTCTATGAATCAACCATTTCTGCCATTCTTCAATCCAAGATTAGAAGAAAAGGTAATTCTAACCGTGGTAATGTTTTTCCCTCTTTTTTCTCTGAGAAAAGGACAAGCGAGCACTTTCAGATCTCTCACAGAAGCTTCCATCATCTGTTCAAGTTTGGATGTTGATAGAGAGAGGTTACACTGAAAAGAGGCTGTTAGAGCAGGAGCATCTGCCCTTGTCAGGTTGGCAACAAATACAACTTCCGGATCTGTGATCATGGCCTTTAAAGTCATATTTGGTCTTAGAGAGTCATCTGAAGAAACAAAAACAGGAACCAAAAGATTTTAAAGTATATCTCTGTCACTTGACTATATGTTATCTACAAATTTCTAAGTTGTTCTCAATATTTTGCTATAATTTATATGGTGACAATAATTGGTTGATTAGTACTAATGATCAAATGATTATCAATCACTAACAAATGCTGACTGTGCAAGATAATGCAAAGCAATCTGATCCCTGTCTCAAGTTCATTCACACCTTGACCTAGTAGGAATAATCTTGTTTTGAAGGTGTTTTTGTCAGAATTAAGGTATATGTGTACATATACATATATCAGTATGTTTTTTGTTAAGTGGCAGGGGCAAGGAGGGGAAAACCAGACAGGGGAATATCAGGAAGAGGAAAAGAGACCCTGATAAAGTAGATAAACCATTGATACTTGTTTATTTTGATTTCTCCCAAAAGTACACAGTCAGTGTCATATAATCTGTAGTATAAATACATTCAATGTATGCATAAATACTGAGATATCGGATATGATTACTGTTTAAGAAACATTAATGTTAAGTGGAAAAATAATGTTCTGACCTTGCCGGTAAATGTTATTTCTCCAATCTTTCTGGGATATAAATTAGACAGAAAAATGCCTGACCTTAGACAATTATAATTTAACATAGAAAATCACTGATCTACTTGGTAATGGTGGAATAAAAGAATTATAGAGCTGAAAGTCGCTTCAGTGTACACCTTGACCAGACATTTATAAACTCTCCCACGAAGATTAAGGAGTAAAGGTAATACACAGGGAGTTACACTGGGTCCTCCAATCTCCACCTTCTGCTTTTATCTTTTCAATTGCTCTTCCGTGTAGTAGAATTCTTCAAAATATTTTCTTTGAATAAAGATTCCCCACTTATAAAACAGGCTGCCAAGCACTGACCACATTAACTCCCTCTACTTCTGGATGGGTAAAGAAATGTAAATGGCACAGTTGAAACCACAGCAGAGTTGCCTGGCCCCTAGTCCAATACATTTATACTGTGCCTCTCTCTTAAAAATGTTTGCTAAATACAGTTTTCATATAGGATATGTTTGAATCTGAAAGACTAATTTTACATTCTTAAATTCTTCATTAATCTTTTTTCTTTTTGTAATTTTTGTTAAAATATACAAGTTGTCATCTATAACAGATAAATTCTTCTAACCTTTCTCTATCTTGACTTTCCCCATGGCGATCTGTCTTGGTGGAATCTGTGTTTCTTTTGCCATATTTTCTGGACTCTGAGGCATGGCTTTGATGAAGAAATCTGCCACAGTCATCAGAAATTCCACACTGGCACATACATACAGCTTGTCGAGAACAGCATCAATTTGACTTCCATTTCTGTCTTGTTTGTAACTTACATCAATCATAGAACTGTTGTTATCGTGGTCATTCTTTTTGTCAATCATTCTGAAAAATATATATATATCATTATTTTATTCCTGCTAAAATAGTTAAAAAGATAAAAATTTTCCTATACACCTCAGTAATTTTTCTTTCACCTTTCACTTTCTAATCTGAATAGAAAACAGATCAGTGTTAAATGGAATCTAATTACCCAGTTAGCAACCAAAATGTGGTCTCCTAATCTCCAAAGCAAGATGCAAGTTATTAAGCAATCATAGAATATTTTATAATTATAATGCAATACTAGAGAAACAAACCAATGATTGTTAGCAACCAAAATGTGGTCTCCTAATCTCCAAAGCAAGATGCAAGTTATTAAGCAATCATATAATATTTTATAATTATAATGCAATACTAGAGAAACAAACCAATGATTTCAGGAAGGAATTTGGGCAATTAACAAAACACATCAATGTGGTCCCACAAAATGTGAGGTAATCTCTCTATGTTATTTTACCTAAAAAAAAAAAAACTCTTTGAAGAAATTTATCTCCAAAGATCATCCAATACAATTTGAGTCCAAAAGTATTCAATGCAACTCAAATCAGCCAGTGTTTATGAAGTGCCTGCAATGATAGTGCTGGAGTGAGCAGGACTGAAGCCATGTTGGGACCTGAAACCACTTGGGCTTCAGGAAAGGGGGGATTTTTAAAAGGACAGTTTTTTTTTCCTCTCCACTTTTTCTTACCATCCCCTGACATTTTTATCTTGCTTGCTAAATAGGAACACAAGGCTGAGAAGCCAATCAGTACTTTCCAAAGCTAACAGTTCTTTCTTTGAGACTTGTAGAGTTTTGAGAAGTGACCAAGGCCAAATGACGGGAAGCTGACCTTGGGCACCAGCCAAGTCAACCAGAGCTCTGTGAAGTGAAACTATGTGAAAGACTTTGCAGAAGAGCTGATTCTACTCCAGAGCAAATCAAAATCTTGCAGGGTCCTAAGTTAACAGTGGAGAACAGAAACCAGAAGAAGCCGGGGCGAGACCTTGTACCTGACTCAGAGACACGGACTCCTTGTAGCTCACGTCTCCTTCAAGCGGCGCACTTATCCAGTGCGCCACCGGGCCAGCCCTTTTCTTTCCTTCTAAAGGGGATGGGCAGCCAGACCTGAGTTCAGGAACAAGAGCTTCCATACATCCTCACATGTGCTGGGAAGAGCACGGTACCAAACAGATGACGGCATTTATCGCCCTTGCCTGGAGAGTTGTAGACAGTTACCCCAGACACAAAATTCGAAAACTAGAAAAGGTGGGTGCATGATAGCACTCTTTCCTCATTTATTTATCTTGCAGAAAAACAAAGGGCTCAGAAGTACCTAGTATGCATTCAATGGGGTCCAAGTTTAGGTCGCAACATAGTTTTTTCTCCAAAAAAATACCAAGTACAAAATATAATGTGTCTCGTTATTTGAGAAATGAATAAAAACATAATTAGGCTATTGATATTACATATTTTAAACTTTATAGTAGGCTGATAGCTAATCTTTCAAAAATGGGTTGAGAATGTGAATATGCTAGGGATTCTATTTCTATTAAAACTTTGAAAGAAATTTTGCAAAACTATTTTAAAAGACATGGACAAAATAAACAAGACAAAGTAAAGATCCATAACTTTAGGGCTTTTAAAAAAAAAAGATTCTGCCTACTGGGGACAATTTGGAAATATATATTCTCAACATAGCACCTCAAGTAGATTAAACTATTAAAACTCATATTCTGTTAGTTTCCAGGACATGGACAAAATAAACAAGACAAAGTAAAGATCCATAACTTTAGGGCTTTTAAAAAAAAAGATTCTGCCTACTGGGGACAATTTGGAAAAATATATTCTCAACATAGCACCTCAAGTAGATTAAACTATTAAAACTCATATTCTGTTAGTTTCCAGTTTTAAGATGATATTCCATTTTATTATTAAACTTCCTTTTAATTTAAACTTTAAACCAGCTGAATCTCATATTAGCATTATTTCTTGATGCAATTCAAATCAGGAATGTGACCAAAAGACAACAGCCCTTTTTTAATGACCTCAAGCTTAGCAATGCCTGGTAGCAAGACCAGATGCAATTTCAACCTTAAATCATGTACAGCAAATTTAGAGCTGACAAACCTCGATGTTGCTCTCTCGATGCCTTCTCTGAGATCATCAAGGGTGCATGTCTTAAGTTTAACGCTGACATTCATTGAGCCATCCTTAAACATCTTCCCTGTGGAGGCCATAAGATGCAGTCTGAGTTCACCAAGACGGAAATTTTCATTATGAAATGAAAGTTTGGACTCCTGTGGTATATTTTTCAAACAAAAAGAATCGATTACCTTTAAATATTATGTAAACACTTTTAAACATATTTCTTAATTCAGAGCTTAATAGCAAACTGATCTCACAAATTTTAAAAGTATGGGTACTAAAACACATAAATGGAATAGAGAATATGCCTGTTTGTGAGAACATATGTAGATTCAAATAAATACATGTGTGTGTGTGCTGATATTCAGTAATGATTAATATTTAAAAATTTATCTGATTTATACTTCAATGCAAATAAAAATAATCAAGAAACACTTTTGTCAATTTATCAGTTAATCCCTAACTAATAAATATTTTATGAGTTCTTCTGTAAGAAACACTGATAAGAACTATGGGGTTTATGAGAAAGGATAAGGAAGGCATGGTAGGTGATCTCTGAGCTTATCCCCTACCTTAATTGAGAAAAGAAGATATAAATATATTAAAAGGAACATCACAAGGAGATGATATAAGGTGTAAATGATCAAATTCTTAGTGACATACAGTAATTTATTTATTCATATTTATATCTTCCCACATTCTACAAAGGATATTAGGGGGTTAGGTAAAGAGAATAAATAGTAAAAGCTTAGAGAGGTCAAATAGATCACTGTGGGCTGGGGAAAATTCACATAGAAGGTGAGAACTTAAATGAGCCTGGGAGGCTGCATGGGATCAGACAGGCTAAGACAGTATAAGAGATTCTACATGGAGAAAAAACATGAACAAACAATTCAAGATGCTCTGAGGGCACAAGGTACAGGGTGGTTTAAATATTCCAATTAAAGAATGGTAGGGAATAAGACTGGAAAGAAATATAGAGGCCTAATCAAGTTCTCAAATCCCAAACTAAAGATCTAAACTTTCGGTTACAGAAAAAAGAACCTCAATCTTTATTCCACCATAACACATAATTCTGAATTCTCTAGATATGCCCAGATTTTTAAAAGAACAAAACACAACCAACCAACAAACAAAAAACCTTCAGGGAAGTAAAAATATCATTCACAGTTGCTCTAGAGACCAGGGTGTTGATAAAAGGGGTGCTGGTGACATGCAGTCCTTGACACACTGGTTAGAACTTCACACCATCTCTCGTTCAAAACATATATTGCGTGCAAGTGGGTCAGAATGGCATTACTGGCAAACTATGAATGCCCTTAATTTACAAAAATGAAAATAATTCACAAACTTCTGTGCTATACCTATTAATAAAAATGACGTGATACATTTACTGATCACAACACACTAATGTTTCCTAATATGGTTACTGATGTAGACAATTTGGAGCCACTGAACATTTTGTGCATAAGGAGAAATTCATGTAATATAACACTGAAAGTTTGTAAGCAGAATGGGAAGTTAGAAATGACTACATGAGATTCATTTAGGAAAATGAACTTGTGGCAGTGTTTAGGATGGACAAAAGGAAAAAGAGCAGCAAACAAGGAAGCCATTCCAACACTACAAATGTGAGCTAAGATGAGTCTCAAATAAAGCAGCAGCAAGAACTGACAGAAAAGAACAAATGATCACTCAAAGAAAAAACTGACAGTACCCAGTGTCTGAACAAATAAGGAAAGTGAAGAAAGAAGGAAGTAAAAAAGATAGCAAGATTCTAAGGCTGGGGAACCAGTGGAATGATGGGAACTTAAGTAAAATTAATTGTTAATTTCTATAGGGTCATTTTCTCATGTTTTCATGAACATTAAACATTAGAAATTAAGGCAGTTCATTATATAAATGACAGTTACTAAACTAGCCCGAAACTCAACAGTAATAATGCATAACTATTGGATAAATTTTAGAAAGCAATAAAAATAATGAATTAACATATACAAATGGGCATTAACAACAGACATATTCATTACCAGTACAGATTATGGGTATTATAATATGACATACGTATTACAGGTATTAACATATGACAATTAATTGATATAATCAAAAACACTTATTGGAAGACACTCATAATACAAAATAGCACCCTAAAATGCCATTGATACATTATTTAGTTCAACTCTTGATGGCATTAGACTTTGGTTCTCCAATTCTTTAATCAGTATATTAAATAGATATCTACTACATATAACATTTATCCAATAGAAACACAATGAATGCTTATATATCATGGATAGTCATGAATTTAAAAATAATCGTTAAGGCACCAAAGCCACTACTAAAGTATTCTTCATAAATAATTATACATACATATATATCTAGTTATATAATAAAATCATACATATGATTAATTGCTCATATATAAAATTCCTCTATTAGCAATGGATCAAAATGTGTTTGGGTGCTGATATTACTTAGAAATAAAACTCTGAGTGCTTTTTCTTAGCTTTCTAAGACTAGAAACACTAACAAAGTGAGGACTGCACAGGACCAATGCATGTTACAAAGGCCAAACAGAACTGCATAAACATTAAATCTTTTAATGAATAAGCACATTGAAAAATGCCAGTATTCTAAAACTGAATATCAAGAGCTAAGGAATTACAGAAATTTACTACATACCTGGTTGACATCGTTGTTATAAAGGATAATGGAAAGAGATTCAAAGTGAAAGTCAAATTGCAGAGTGACACTCTGGTCCACAGAAAGCTTTGAGTCTGTCAAATCTTGTTCTGATGGATCAAACATGAATATGAAAATCAAAAAGCTTTTAAGTAGGCACGTGATTTTATACATATTTTAAAAGCTGGGATAATAATTTATTATTCCAAATTTATATCATGCTTTCCAGGATTCTTTAAATCCTATTATGAGACAATAAAAATGGCAGTGATTATTCCGTATATATTTAGAATAGGGCAAAGTGACAGAAGCAGATGATCTACATTAAACAACAACAAAAAGGGAGCCTTGCCAAAAAAAACAAAAAAACAAAAAACTTTTTTAAAAGCCCACCAAAGCAAGATAACTTAGTATAGAGTAGTTCATAATTGTCAAGGCATTTTCCGCTAACTGCTTTCAAACTATCCTCGAGAGATTATTAAATTGGAGGCAGAGAAAAGTCAAACAGTTTGCCCTAGATTAGACAGCTAATAACATATCCTCTGTTAGCCTAGTGCACTTCTCTCTATCTTTAATTACCTACATTACCCAACCCATTACTGTTACAAGAGAACAGAAAATAACTCAATAGCAGAGTCAAACAGAGCTCAAATACGATGTGAGGGGCCTTGCAATTTTTAGGTGAAAGAGACTTCAAGAAATAAGTTAGTCTTTCCCTTCATCTTTAAACAGATTAGACAGAATACATCTTGCAAGATGATTCTATAATCATTTTGGACATTGATTCTAGTTTTTGGTCATTACATAGGAAAGTCTGTTCTTACAAGTTACTAGAAAAGTAAACACAGCATAAGTTTAACCAAGTAAGGAATCTCCAAGTTGGAAAACTCTGTGTTGCCCCCGCCCCCACGTTTCTTGAAAATAATTTATATTCCAATCTTCATCATCCTTGCAGCTTCCATTGAACTCAGAAATTTTCCCAAGTGCCACATTAACCATACAGCGAGAACCAGATACATGCATCTGATCACAGCTGAACATTGTGTTGCCCCCGCCCCCACGTTTCTTGAAAATAATTTATATTCCAATCTTCATCATCCTTGAAGCTTCCATTGAACTCAGAAATTTTCCCAAGTGCCACATTAACCATACAGCGAGAACCAGATACATGCATCTGATCACCGCTGAACACAATGAGAGCATTAATCACATAAAACTTGCCTGTTACATTTTATTCATCTCTACAGTTCCTGTCTAAACCTAACAGCCTGCTTACCTAGCATTTGTCTATGTGGAGGCACAAATGCAACCTGGGGAGAAGATGCTTGCCTCACCAAGTTTATGCAACACTCACAACTATCCACTTCAATCAGAAATCTTACTGTGTACATTGTTCTAACCATTTGTGTGATTTCAAAACATATCTGGCCTAACTATATGAGAAGCAGTGTTGGTAAGGTCTTATTAACCAGCCAATTTTATCGAGGGCTGTCAGAAGCAATAGCTGATGGTCTGAGAGCATTATGAAAGCATAGCAGCCTAGGATCGTTTATTATAAGAGCAAGGGGAATTTCACCTCTTTTTACCCACAAAAATATTAACCTATTTACAGTCTAATAAAACATATGATATTCACATCAAGGGCTTTAAATAGTGAAAAAAAAAGAGGGAAATTATATTTCATATAATTTACTTAAGAAAGCAAGAAGAAACCTTATATTTTACCAAAATTATCATTTAAAAATGGCTGAATTTAAAAGGTTCCATGCTTTCTAAAGTTTCAATTTCAAGAATCTGAAAAATTCTCTTTTCTGGCTGGCCCAGTGGCGCACTGCTACAGTGCGCCGCTTGGGAGCGCAGCGGCACTCCCACCGAGGGTTCGGA